CTTTGGATGATCATCTTCAACATTTGCTTGAGGTTCTGTTAGTTCTGCGACAGCATAAACTGTATGCCACAATGAAAAAGTGTGAGTTTGGTTCTGCGGAAGTACATATATGGGATACATCGTTTCAGATAAAGGCCTAGCAGTTGATCTTAGCAAAGTTTCAGCAATCAGTTCTTGGCCGATCCCAAAACACTGACTGAAGCTCGCATCTTCCATGGCTTGGCGTCTTTTTATAGACGTTTTGTTCCACAGTTTAGCAGTCTAATGGCACATATTACCGATTGCATGAAGGATAGCGCGTTTGTTTGGACTTCAGCGGCAACCTCTGCATTTGAGCTCGTGAAACAGAAGCTGGTTTCAGCGCCGATTTTATCTTTGCCAGACTTTTCCTTGGTTTTTGAGCTACACTGTGATGGATCTAAAAACGGTATTGGTGCGGTTTTGAGTCAACGTCAACGCCCTGTTGCCTTCTTTAGTGAGAAACTGGCTGGAGCTCGCTTTCGTTATAGTATTTATGACATTGAGTTCTATGCGATCATCCAGGCAGTTAAACATTGGTGGCATTATTTTTTTCACAGAGAATAATTTGTGCTCTACACTGATCATGATGCTCTCAAACACCTAACCAATCAAGAGAAGCTTTCATCGCGACATGCCTCCTAGGTATCTTATTTACAGCAATTTACGTTTGTGATCAAGCATAATTCTGGTATTTCAAATCGAGTAGCTGACGCCCTGAGTCGTCGCCACTCTGTGTTAGCAGTTCTTCGTGTTTCAGTTCCGGGATTCAGTTCGTTCGTGGAGTTGTACCCTACTGATCCATTCTTTGGGTGCATCTTTGATGACGCCATTGCTGGTCTAAATTCTGATTACACCATTCATGATGGGTTCTTATTTCGTGATTCACGTTTATATATACCAGATTGCAGTCTTCGCCTTCAACTCATTTCGGAACTCCACAATGAAGGTCATGTTGGACGAGACCGAACTCTTCAACTTGTTTCTTCGTCCTATTTTTTGCCTTCCCTTCGACTCGATGTTGAACGGTTTGTTGAGCGCTGTGTAACTTGTCAAAGAGCCAAAGGACATGCTTCTAATGCTGGTTTGTACTTACCTTTGCCTATACCAACACAGCCTTGGACAGAAATCAGCATGGATTTTGTGATGGGTCTCCCGCGAACTCAGAAGGGTTTTGATTCAATTTTTGTTGTTGTGGATCGTTTTTCGAAGATGGTTCACTTCATTCCTTGCAAGCGCACTACAGATTCCGTACAGGTGGCCACTCTCTTCTTTCGAGAAGTTTATCGCTTACATGGTCTTCCATCTTCCATTATGTCTGATCGTGATTCGCGTTTTCTTGGACATTTTTGGTTTTCATTGTGGAAAATGCTGAATACAAGTCTTGATATGAGTTCCGCCTACCATCCTCAAACAGATGGTCAGACAGATGTCACAAATCACTCTTTGGGAAATCTTCTTCGTTGTCTTGTGGGCGTGAAAATTAAATCTTCGGATTCTCATCTACCTCAGGCTGAATTCGCCCACAACCACGCAGTTAATCGCAGTTTGGGTTTTAGTCCTTCTCAGGTCATCTATGGCTTTTCACCTCGGGCTCCTGTTGATCTTTCCTCTCTTCACCTCGGGCTCCTGTTGATCTTTCCTCTCTTCCCGATCGTACACGCTTACATGGCACGGCTGCTGACTTTGTTGAAGATGTACAGCGCATACATGAACTACCTCATGAAAATTTGGAGACTTCGACTCAGAAATATAAAGCCGCAGTTGATGCGAAACGTCGCCGTCTTGTTTTCGAAGTAGGTGATCTTGTTTGGGCGGTATTCACTAAGGATCGTATGCCATCTAAGGAGTACAACAAACTGAAGTCCAGTCCAAGAAGTTAGGTCCCCTTGAGATTGTTGAAAGAATCAATGATAACGCTTATAGGCTTCGCCTCCCACCTAATATCAACACTTCAGACGTGTTCAATGTGAAGTACCTCTCTCGTTTCATTGTTGATGACTCTTTGCCAGATTTGAGGACGAATCTTTCCAACCCGGAGGGACCTGATGCAGCACCGCCTTAACAGCTTCAACGACTTTTCCTTAATTAAGCATTACCTATTTTATTTAGGAATTTAACTAGAGTCGGTTTATTCTTTTCCTTTTTGTTTCAGCATTCCTTTTGTGTTTTTAGAAACCTAAAGCCTATATAAGGCTAAACTCTTAGTCTTAGTTTTACGCAGTTTTTGATAATTATTAATAAATCTTCATTCTTGCTTTGATTTGATTTAATTCATCAAACAAGAAGTCGGTCCTAAGAGATTTCGTCAAAATCTCTTGGTTGAGCGAGGTAGGTCTCAAGTGATTTCCTATAATCTCTTGATCGAGCTACAAATCCGTTTCTTCCGCTACATCATCGTAGCTTGTCATTTGGAAAGTTCTTGGAGCTCAGCTTTACTCAGCAAACTTTTCTGAATAGATTGTCTAGCTGTGGGCACTCTTTCGACATGGACTTCCTTCTCTTCTTTGGGTATGGTTGTTGCTCTGATTCGCACTGCCTATAATTTTAGATATTCTAACGATTGATGTTACTCTATAACATGGGCTTTTAAAATAGTGACATCCACATATTCTAGGATTGTACCAGACTTTACCAGTTCAAGGCTTAGTTCTCTTGAAGGTCCATTCTTGGTTCTAGTGGTGCAACATAAAATTTATGAATAGTTTTTTTGGGAACTTTGTAAGATTTATGATGGATTGAGAGCCGTCATTATCTCTACTAATATATCTTGAAACTTGTATACAACTGCAGATTAGGCTCCATGGTTGCTAGGCTCAGCTACTTCAAAGTCACATCTTACACAGTGTCTCTGCCACGCATGAAGGCTAGCATTTTAATAAAGCGGGTTGGCTTGAGAAAGACTTTCAAAGAGTAAGTTTCTTAACTGAGTAAAACAGTTTTGCAGCTACTCATTCATGGTGTTAGAAACAAACATTGCAGTTTTTTTATTTCTTGAAACGAGGGCTGGCTTAAAAAAATGCTAAATGAAGACGCAAGATGATCATTTTTGTGCTAATTGTTTCTGTTTTCTTGTTCAGATATTCACTAAGGGGATCTCTTTGTTTGAGGATTCTGGTAGTTATCTGAAGATACAAAGATCACACACAGTTCACAAATTCAAACATCAGCCATCAGTGTGCACTCAAATTGCTTTCTAACATCGAGGAGTTGCTGAAGCACGAGCGTTGCGGATTTGAGGTTAGCTTTGCAACAATTGCATTTGGTATATAAACATCCATAGACAGGCGTACTGATATCTATTTATCCTTTTTTTGGACACATTGTTATTGCTAAAAAATAGGAAAACATCAAGATTTCTTTTGACAAGGCTAAAACCATAGATCTTGTTTCGCACAAACTTCTCCGCTTAAACCGCATGAGGTGGGAACTTCTGCTTCAAGCTCTCATCTGGAACTACCGGTTGCAGTCGCTGATATAGTAAATATGAAATAAGGAATAAAGACACGTGGACGTTGTAAATGGCAAGATAGAATCGACGGAGGAGATTAGTTTACAGTCCAGAGCCAGGAAACGACGAGTTAAAGCAAAGCAGAGAGGGAAAATTAGTTCATTCATGGAAAATTGTTGAAAGTCTGTTATTTTCTTCATCCCAAACTCTCTGTAATTCACGTTTTGTTCATCCTCTAGGAAGAATCTTTTCTTATCTCTGGATTCTTGTAAGATGAGCTTGAGATTTCTTTGTTTCATGAACATTGGATTCTCTTATCAATTCTATTGAGGTTTTATCGTTAACAGTCGCTGGTTGTTTCCGATCGTTTGCTACTTTCAAGTGGTGAGAGGAAGAGAAACGAACATGGTGTGATAACCGTTTCCGAGCCTGGAATGACCAGATATGGAAATAATGACAAAGTCTCTGATTTTGACACTCATTTGGCTGTTAATAACCATTCAACCAATGAACAAGAAGCGGGCAAATCAAGTCCAGTTACTGGAGATTCACTGGATGGTGAGGTTGCTGCCTCTAATGGATCACACATCTTAGGTTGGGATGAATGGTTTTGGCTGTCATTTGAAGAGCTACGCTTGAAGCCCATTGTCGATGTTGAGAAGGAATACTTGTTGAAATACGAGTATGTTAACAGTTTTACCCAAGCAAACCTCCAGACGGTGAACCAGATAATCAGTGATGAAGGACCTCGTCTGCACATCCCTTTGAGGGATGATGAATCTCTCTTGTCAGACTATGAAGATGAGCCCTCGAGCCTAATTGCATGCGCGCTTGCCCATTTGAGCAGTGATGAGAACAGAATGCCTCTTTCAAAGCCCGTCCATGGATCTCTTGAAGAGTTCTTACTCTTGACCATCAGTTTTCTGGTTTCTCGAGTGAGAGTACAACACGGTTGGAAAAACCACCTCCGCAAGAGGTCCTTGTTACTTTTGGGTCACTCAAATCAGTTGGAAAACCCAAATACTCTGTCATGTGCTTATATCCAGATGATTTCCGCGATCTCAGAAACAGCTGTTGCTCCTGAGAGATTGATTATATAGCTTCACTAAGCCGCAGTGAGCCGTGGAATGCTAAGAGTGGGAAGTATAAATCCGTGTTTGCTAAGAGTTTAGATGATAGGTTCATCATAAAAGAGATCAAGAAGGCAGAGTACGAATCATTTGTGAAGTTTGCTCCGGAGTATTTCAAATACTTGAGGAACTCGTATGATCTAGGCCACCAGACTTGTCTTGCCAAAGTTCTTGGGATCCATGAGGTAATGTCTCTAGAATCATCCTTTGACCATTTTGCTTAATCGTTATAAAACCGATATGGCTTTTGATGAATCTTTGATCAATATTTTCAGGTAACTGTAAGGCAACCAAAGAGTGGGAATGAGATACGGCACGACCTGATGATGTACACGGCAAGTTTGAAAAGTATTGTTTTGTATAAGGAAAACAAAAGTGAGTTTTGTTACATTTGTTTGTCAAAGTATTTTAGTGTTGGTAAGCTAAACCAAAGGGAACGAGTATCTTCTAATGCAAAGGCCATAACAATATTCGTAAACAAAAACAAAAGTGAACAAAAAAAAACACTTCTTTTTCTTTTGAGTTTTGTTCCATAATTCAGATACATTGACACCGAAGAGGAACAGAAGCACCTGCTGGTTTCCTCCTCTCTCTAATCACTGCTTCCTTCACCATTGGCACTTTCTCCCAAACCTTCTTCCATATGTGATTCACCGCACCATCAGGTTGTACCGGTCCAATCCCATCGGCTTGACCATTATCATAAACAAAAACTCTCTGAACCTTTGCCATTCTGCTTCTGAACGTTTCCTTGTCTCTTTCAGAGAACCTTCTGAGATGATTAGCCAACCATTTAGGTGTTAATGCATCACTTACAGAGACAAAGACCGAGAATTCAGAGTAGTCGATAATTCCCTCAAACGGGAGCTCTATGGTGTCGCTGACAATCACAGGGATGCATAGGCTTTGTATGGCGTCAAAGAGACGGCATGAAGTTGGAGTGTCACCAGCTGGATGCAAGCAGAACTCTGAGTTTCTCATTCCTCTTATCGATTGTTCTCTTCCCGTTGCATTAGGGAAACCTTCTTCCATGACAACACCGTCTTCATCGACAAGCAAGTCCCATAGTTTCTCTCTAATTAACCCTCCCTGTCAAATTCAAATCATACAAATTACTTAAGAGATCCATACACCAAAAACAACCTTTAATAGAAAACGGACCATTTGCTCTGAAGACATAAGACTAATCATACAAATGCCAGTTTCTTCACTTGCATTTACATGTAAACACAAGTAACATACGGATTTCATTTCACATGCTAAATATTATGGATTCATTAGGAAAGATTACATATTAGTACACTATACATATAAGCAAACGCAAATGAAAACAAACAATCGAGGCCTAAGTTTCTCGAAAAATTGGACAACACTGGAATTTCCAAAACGACAGTACATTTCCTCTGTAACGGATCCATCACGGAGTCATGAATTACTAACAAGAGTCTCTGCATAAAGCATTGTAATGATTCAAAGAAGTGAGTTTTGCAAGAGTAGTTTACCCGATGTCTATGCTTAGCGCCTTTGAAATAAAGAAGGCTGTGACGTCTCTGGTTCCGGGACAAATCTAGTCGAGGAAGTAGATGCGTGTATGGAACTATCACATCCTTAATAACTGAGACTTGCGTATGTTCTATCTTCTCGGGCAAGCTAGTACCGCTGGAGGACTTGGAATCTTGCCTGAACCATCCTCCAAAATCCACCACTAGGAGAATCGATAAAGCAATCTCCTCACGAACATGCCACATTGCAACTGGGTCTGCCAAAGAACGCTTCAACATTTAACTAACCTGAACAAATCCATCCACAGATATTAACTTATATAAGCTTCTACACCAAATCCAATAAAGACACTGTTCCATTCAATTCTATCTTAACAACACCAAAATCTAGAGATACCCAAATGGAAGATTCTCAAAATGACTCAAAATATATGTATAAGATCAAGATTTTTCAAATTGAGTGTTAGCTCACATCCAAACAAGTTACAAAGAAATGAAATTTCAAAGAGAAATGGTACCAATAGAGAGAAAAAATTTGGTACCGGTTAGAACAAAAACGTGATCACGGCCATTGGATCGCTTCCAAGCTTGAGTGTTCTTCACGAAATCAAGCACTTGTCTCTGCCTCTGGTAATCTTCGTTACCAGATTTCTTCCTAAAGGAGCCTTTGCCATTTCCCAGCTCCATCTCCGCGCTTAGCGTCGCGAAGAACGGCACGAAAACCACATCGGCGTCGGATTCACTGAAGACCCTTTTGGCGAAAGATCCAGCTCGATTCTCCGGCGGAGTCTCGAGGTCTCCCATGATCCAATACTCGGCACTGTACTGCTTAATCAGCGGATTCTCCGGGTACGGTGGGTATTTATCCGGTTTGGGCAAATTGGTTTTCCGGGTCGGGCGATCCGGGTCGTTGGGTATTCGAGAATCTGGAGAAGAGGACCAATACTTCTCGAGAAGACCATAATTTAGGGATCTCGGAAGCTCAGCTACGAAGACATTGATGCCGTTTTGGAACGTATTGTGTGAAATCCTCGGATTTGGGTCGGATATTAAGAAATTTGAGAAGAAGAAGAGAAGTGGGATGATGAAGACGAGAGAGAAGGAGAGGAATAAGCAAGATACTGAGCAGAGAGGTCTAGTGACCGCCATAGATGTGATCTTGGGAACCATCAAAGCCTAAGATCTTTCACTCTTTTCTTCACGACTCACAGTGTGAAATGAAGAGAAAACACAAAGCGTGGCGTTTTTAAATGTAGTGTTTTAAGAACTCCTTGCCGGTTCTACCACTGTGTATAAAACTCCTCGTTGTCTCATATGATCTCCTTTTTTAGCCTGGGAAAATTGGTTCATTTGAAATGTCAACTTTGGAGCATTACAATTTCTTGTGACTGTGACTAATTTACTTTAGCTTATGCGATAATAAGTTTAATCTTCCATCAATCACTTGAGGCCCATAGCTATTTTTTTTAAAAAAAAATAATACTCCATTGTGAAAACACAATAGATAATATTTATGTAATTTTTCAACTTTCAACGCAAATATATATATATATATATATTTTTGTATTTTAGAGATTGTTTTTGGTTAATTGTGTTCTATAAAATAAACCAATTTATAAAAAAAATAATAATTCATTAGTCTGCGTAAAAAATTGGTTTTTTTACAAATTTTAATTGTGTGCTATAAGATAAAGGGAGAATTAGTTTTATAATGTTAATTGATTTAAAAATTGTTCCTTTAATGTTTTTATTTTTTGTCACTTTTTGACATAATTACTCTTTTAAATTAGTTATGATAATTATAATTAAAATAAAATTTTAATTTTTTTTAAAACAATATCAAATATTCCAAAATAAGAAGGAAAAATATTTTTGGATATCATTTAAGAAAAGAAAATATTTTTAAATTTCGTTCTATGCATGGTAGAACACATCTTCTACGTTCTACGTCTACGTAGAATCTCATTTCTATAGTTCTTTGTAATTTTTACCAGTTTGTAGAAATCGTTTTCTACATTCTTTTTTATATTCTACGTTATGGTAGATTACAAGTTCTACCGGATAGACTATATTCTACGTATTGGTAGAATAAAACTTCTACCAAATAGACAAAGTTCTACGTTATTGTAGAACATTAATTCTACATATTTAACCAAGTTCTACGTTAAAATAGAACAATACTTCTACTTATTAGACCAAGTTCTACATGCTAGTAGAACAATTCTTCTACTTATTAGACCATGTTCTACATGTTGGTAGAATACAACTTCTACCAAAATCTAAAAAAATAAGAAAATTAGCTAACTTCTAGATTTTATTTTTTTCGAAATTTTTTTATTTTTTTATGTTTTTCTTTTTGTTTTTGACGAAATTGCTTCTTTTCGTTTGAGTTCATCGTTTTCTTCTTCTTCTCATTGATTCAGAAGAATTTCTCTAAGTTAGAATCAAACAAATAACAGAAAACTGTAAATCAAAAAATCACTTCAAATTAATTGGGTATTTATAAACCCTAAATTCGAAACTGAATGATAACGAAAAAGACAAGCGAAGGAGAAAGACTGTGTAGATTGTGTATTTATCGGAAATTGATTTTCCAGCAAAAACTGTGTAAGTGAAAAAAATTGTATTGATGATGTCGATGAAAGAGAAAAAGAGCGTGTGGATGGGATGTCGAATCTCTTTTCTACTAATATTTTTAATTATAAATTATTATTAATATAAAACTTAATTAATTAAATAATTCGAAATTAATGGGTATAATGAAAAAAAAAATCAATAAAATTGACAAAATTTTTTCAAAAAATATTAAAAGGATAATTCCTAAATCAATTGGCATTATAAAACTAATTCTCCCTAAGATAAATCAATTTGTGAAAACAAATTTTAATATGTTTAATTGTGTTCTATATAATAAACCAATTATAAAAAAAATATTAATTCATTTATCTTCGTTAAAAAACCTTAAACATCTTTTACAATTTCAATACGTTAAATTTAAAATACATTTAAACTTTTGTTAGGTTTATGTTAATTTCAGTGGTAAAGCAAGCTCTGATAGTCTCCTCATAAATCATAACAACGGTCAATTGAAATGTCAACTTTGCAAAATCTAATAAATTATTGATTAAAAGGGAAAAACAATGGTCATTTCAGTCTTCAATCAATCTTCATTGATAATGGAAATTTTTTGAAAAGCTTCACAATCACAACAATGGCGGAGACGCCATATCCGAAACTTCTTCCTCTTCTTCTTCTCCTTCTCCTCCACTTTCCTTTTTCAGCTTCTACCATACCTCTCGGCTCCGTTCTTTTCGCCTCCGGTTCAAACCAGTCTTGGTCGTCTCCCAATTTCACTTTCTCCGTCTCCTTTGTTCCATCGTCTTCCCCTAATTCCTTCCTCGCCGCCGTTTCCTTCGCCGGAAACGTTCCAATATGGTCCGCAGGAAGCGTTGACTCCGGCGGATCCCTCCGACTTCTCCCCTCCGGCTCCCTTCGCCTCAGCAATGGCTCCAACACCACCGTCTGGGACTCCGGAACCGATCGTCTCGGCGTCGTTTCTGCTTCGATCGAAGATTCCGGTAACCTTCTACTCCTCGATAACCGGAGCAACCCGGTCTGGTCCTCCTTCGATCACCCGACGGACACGATCGTTGAGTCGCAGAATTTCACCGCCGGTAAGGCTCTCCGATCTGGTAATTACTCGTTTCAGCTTGAGAGAAATGGGAATCTCACACTTAGGTGGAACAATAGCTTGATTTACTGGAACCAAGGGCTTAATTCGTCCTTTAGCTCGAACCTATCGTCTCCTAGCTTAGCTTTACAGACCAACGGTGTCGTATTGATTTTCGATTCGACTCTCCGTGGCGGAGCTGAAGCTGTTTACAGTAGCGATTACGGAGAAGGTAGCAACACGTTTAGGTTCTTGAAGCTAGACGATGATGGGAACCTGAGAATCTACAGCTCCGCGAGTAGAAACAGTGGTCCTGTGTCGTCTCATTGGTCTGCTGTTGCTAATCAGTGTCTTGTTTATGGATACTGTGGAAACTTTGGGATTTGTAGTTACAATGGTACAAATCCGATTTGCTTGTGTCCGTCTCGTAACTTTGATCTTGTTGATGTGAACGATAGAAGAAAAGGGTGCAAGAGAGTAGTGGAGCTGAGTGATTGTTCTGGTAACGCAACCATGCTTGATTTGGATCACACCAGGTTGATTACGAACCAAGACGATCCAAACTCGGAGGTTTTCTTTGCTGGTAGCTCGCCTTGCAGGTCGAATTGTCTTGTTAGCAGTTCTTGTCTCGCTTCTGTGTCAATGTCTGATGGATCGGGAAACTGCTGGCAGAAACAACCTGGTTCGTTCTTCACCGGGTACCAAAGCTCATCGGTTCCGAGTACTTCTTACGTTAAAGTTTGCGGTCCGGTGTTGCCTAACCGGCCTTTGGTTTCGACGAAAGGCGATGGTAACAGCTCGAAAGTGCGCTTGTGGATCGTTGCGGTTGCTGTAGTAGGTGGGCTTATTGGTTTGGTTGCGTTAGAGGTTGGTCTATGGTGGTGCTGCTGCAGAAACAATCCTCGGTTTGGGACTTTATCGTCTCACTACGCTTTGCTTGAGTACGCTTCTGGTGCGCCGGTGCAGTTTTCCTACAAGGAGCTGCAACGTTGCACCAAGAGTTTCAAGGAGAAGCTTGGAGCTGGAGGGTTTGGGACTGTGTACAGAGGCGTGCTCACGAACAGAACCGTGGTTGCGGTGAAGCAACTTGAAGGGATAGAGCAAGGAGAGAAGCAGTTTAGGATGGAGGTTGCAACCATTAGCAGCACACACCATCTGAATCTAGTGAGACTGATCGGGTTTTGCTCGGAGGGAAGACACAGACTTCTTGTTTATGAGTTCATGAGAAACGGGTCTCTCGATAACTTCTTGTTTAGTACTGATTCAGGGAAGCTATTGACTTGGGAGTATCGGTTTAACATTGCGCTTGGGACGGCTAAGGGAATCACTTACCTACACGAGGAGTGTCGCGACTGTATCGTTCATTGTGACATTAAACCAGAGAACATTCTCGTGGATGATAATTACACTGCCAAAGTGTCGGACTTTGGACTTGCTAAACTCTTGAATCCAAAAGACAATAGAAACAAGAACTTGAGCAGCATTAGAGGAACTAGAGGCTATTTAGCACCTGAATGGCTCGCGAATCTTCCCATAACCTCGAAATCGGATGTCTACAGCTACGGGATGGTTCTACTTGAGATAGTCAGCGGACAAAGGAACTTCGATGTCTCTGAGAAAACGAACCACAAGAAATTCTCGATATGGGCTTACGAGGAGTTTGAAAAGGGCAACACCGAGGCGATTCTAGACGATCGTTTGGTCGCAGATCAAACTGTTGATATGGAACAAGTGAAGAGAATGGTTCAGACAAGCTTCTGGTGTATACAAGAGCAGCCATTGCAGAGACCGACAATGGGGAAAGTGGTTCAGATGCTAGAAGGAATCACGGCTATAAACAAGCCGCCACGTCCAAAGACCTTAAGCGATGTGTCGTTTTCAGGGAACAGTGGGAGGACAAGCCACGGGTCTATGTTGGTTGCTTCGGGTCCGGCTCGTTCATCTTCTTCATCTGCTACACGGTCGTTTCAGACAATGGGGATCACATCGTCTGGACCGGCTTCCACTAGGATCAGTGAAGGTTCGTTGCTTGGACCTTAAAGTATTGTGTAATGTGATTAGTTAAGTGTAGGATTTTTTCACTTATTGCATACGTTATAAGTTGTATAGAACACAACAAAACCTATATCTATTGTTTCTGAGTTAATTACAATCAAATGAAATGCATATTCAAAGTTGTTGAATTCTAAGAGGATTCAAATTTTCCAAGTTTACTATGACATTTCTCACATTAGAATCTTGGTATATAATAAGACCACCAAGTCAAAGTTGTATATGAGGAATGTTATATTATATTATATAGTGAATAAAACTCGGATTCGAAACTTGAAAAAAAATCTAAGATCTCAATTTCTTCCAACATTGTTGCGTGTACGTCGTCTCGTCCGAGCATAACATAAGCAAAAGCTTCACATTTTTTTATTAACTCAATCGAAAATTAATATACATGTAGATAGAAAATCTATGTAGGAAAGTGTATAAAAATCTAATTGACGACAAAAAAAATCTAATTAAAATATGAAGCCGTTAGTCATAATTTTTTATTTTAGAGTTAATTTATAAAGTTAATACATTCTAAACCCAAAATTAAGCAATTCGTGTAACATTTTTTCATATCAACGAAGATGTTATCCCCTTAATTAGATTCTGGAGAGATCACAATCGAGAAAAGGTCAAAAAATGAGCCGTAACGAAGATTGGTTTAGAATAACAAAGACAGTTTCGTATTCAACGAAGTAAATCTAATTTCCATCATTAGCCGTAAATAAACTTTGATCCTCACGACCATATTTTTGGTCAAAGTTGGTTGATCACATTTGTTTGATCATCAAACTCTAACATCCATATATTATACTAATTTTTTTTTAAAACATCATATTAAATTAATAAATATATCTATCTATAGTTCATAATTTATTAGTCACCCACATAATTTTCAACAACATTCATCTATCTCATCAAATATAAATTTGAAACGCGTTTTTGGATAAAAACTATCAGGTGGCTTTTTTCTATTGTATAAAAACTGTGGGGGCGGAAGAATTTTTACAAAAAATATAGAATTGAATGTGTGACATCCCGATCCCGCCTTCCCTTTGGGAACTAGACGCGTACCAGCGATATCAATCTTAACTTCTTCCAACCGCCTTTTCCAGTGAGCCTAATGTTCTCTTTAGACACATGGACCCAACATCCTCTCTCTAGGCTCGTTCGCCCAACGCCCTTAGGTCCGTTAACCCACCACTGTCCAACAGTCGGGAGTCGTTAGTTTGGAAAGCTCGTAAGATTTGTTTATTGTCCCTGCAATCACCACATGTTCTTTCCCCATGCTTTGTCCTCACTCGCACGGTACCGCAGAGTACTTCCCGGTAGGTCACCCATCATGAGATATTCCAGAGTTAACCTAACTTCCTCCAACCGCTCTTCTCAGTGAGCCCAACGCCCTCTTTAGGCACGTTGGCCCAACGTCCTCTTTCTAGGCTCGTTCGCCCAACGCCCTTAGGTCCGTTAACCCACCACTGTCCAACAGTCGGGAGTCGTTAGTCTGGAAAGCTCGTAAGACTTGTCTATTGTCCCTGCAATCACCATATGTTCTTTCCCTGTGCTTTGTCCTCACTCGCACGGTACCGCAGAGTAATTCCCGGTAGGTCATCCATCATGAGATTACTCCAGCATCAGCACGCTTAACTATGGAGTTCTCTCAGCACACTTGACCGGAAAAGATAAGTGCACTTTGTTGACATAGGTAGCCAAATCAATTCTTATAAGCCTTTCCATATATACCAGAAATCGGGATGTTACAATTCTCCCCGACTTCCAAGGAATTCGTCCCCAAATTCTCTCTTTATTCACAGAGTGCTCGTGCACCAGGATCGTTCACCCTTTTACGGTGTGAGGTCACATGACGACTCCACACACGTGGTTGAGTGTCGGCTCTGATACCACTTGTGACATCCCGATCCCGCCTTCCCTTTGGGAACCAGACACGGACCGGCGATATCAATCCTAACTCCCCCCAACCGCCCCTCCCAGTGAGTCCAACGCCCTTTTTAGGCACGTGGGTCCAACATCCTCTCTCTAGGCCCGTTGGCCCAACGCCCTCTCTAGGCCCGTTAGCCCACCACTGTCCGACGGTCGGGAGTCGTTAGTCCGGAAGGCTCGTAAGACTTGTCTACTGTCCCTGCAATCACCACATGATCTTTCCCCGTGCTTTATCCTTACTCGTACAGTACCGCAGAGTACTTCCCGGTAGGTCACCCATTCTGAGATCAGCACGCTTAACTCTGGAGTTCTCTCAGCACACTTGACCGGAAAAGATAAGTGCACTTTGTTGACATAGGTAGCCAAATCAATTCTTATAAGCCTTTCCATATATACCAAAAATCGGGATGTTACAATTCTCCCCGACTTCCAAGGAATTCGTCCCCAAATTCTCTCTTTATTCACAGAGTGCTCGTGCACCAGGATCGTTCACCTTTTTACGGTGTGAGGTCACATGACGACTCCACACACGTGGTTGAGTGTCGGCTCTGATACCACTTGTGACATCCCGATCCCGTCCTCCGGGAACCAGACGCGGACCGGCGATATCAATCCTAACTCCCCTCCAATCGCCCCTCCCAGTGAGCCCAACGCGCTCTCTAGGCCCGTGGACCCAACATCCTCTCTCTAGGCCCGTTGGTCCAACGTCCTCTCTAGGCCCGTTGGCCCATCACTGTCCGACGGTCGGGAATCGTTAGTCCGAAAGACTCGTAAGACTTGTCTACTGTCCCTGCAATCACCACATGATTTTTCTTCGTGCTTTGTCCTCACTCGCACGGTACCGCAAAGTACTTCCCGGTAGGTCATCCATCCTGAGATTACTCCAGCATCAACACGCTTAACTCTGGAGTTCTCTATTAGTATACTTGACCGGAAAAAATAAGTGCACTTTATTGACATAAATAGTCAAATCAATTCTTATAAACCTTTCCATATACCGAAAATCGAGATGTTACAGAATGTGCAAACATATATTATTTTTATGAAATGCGATGGAGACAGTAGAATATTAAAATTTGACCAAATGTGAACTTGTTGAATTGGTCCAGAAGAGAGGCATTCCTTCCGACCAACCTATATATATAGCCTTAACAGCAACACTTCATCTTACGTATTTGACTACTTGCAATCTACTTCATCTTTCAAGTCTTGTTGTTAATAAATAAGTAGCCTAAACATAGCAAAAACCCGCTTCGTTTTACATTAAACGTGGCGCAAATATTAACAACAAGACTTGAAAGAAATTGTTTAAAGAATTTTTCAAATATATATAACTCCTCTTTTATGTAAAAAGGAGACTAGACATGCATACACACATGTTGACTTGTTTTTCTTATTTCAGGTACCTACAGTGATATTTAGAATATAGACTTTCTTGCTTTAAGCAATTAAAAATAAATTGGTAAAAAAAATGCATCAAACGGTAAAATTTTTTAGAATATATACACTAATGATTTCACCATTTGGAAAACATAGTAAAAGACTTATCTTGTAGTTGCATTTATATAAACACAGAACTATATTTTAAATAAAAATGGGACAATCTAAAATAGTATTTTATGATGATCTGTCAATTGTGGGATCAAAATCCGAATCCTTTCAAGGTAATTGCATTCACGATTAATCATTAGAGAAGTTTTATATAGCAAGAAAATTTAAAATTTTACTAGTTTTGGTAATTAGTTTAGATTTCGGTTAAATAAAAATATTAATTTTAGAGTAATATTTGATCCTGCAAATTATTGCAACTTGTCAGTAAAAAAAAACATTTAAAGAAAAAAAATGGGAAAAAATGTCTATGGAAGACTTTGAATGAAGCGAGAAGAAGCCCTTTCTGGTTGATTTTGGCAACTTCACCATCTCACACTCTCCAACTCTCAACAAAACCTGCGACAAAAAATTTCACAACTCTCTCTCTCTTTCTCTCTATCTCTTTCTCGAGTCGCGTTTCTTCTTCTCGTTTCTTCAGCTTGGACTTGTTCACTTTCTCGAAGCTTTGCTCATGGTTGGAGCAATAACAAAGCCGAAGTGGCGAATAATCTGTTCAATCTGACTCCCCAGATCCGTGTTTCTGGCCTCTTAGGTCTCTTCCTCTTGCTTCTACCGTTTTGTATTCGTGACTCTTCATATAAAGCTACAAAGCTTACTGATTTGAATAGTTTCTTTTTGGGATTCTTAGCTGAGTTGCTAGGGTTTTCGATTTTTCCGCTTGTTTAAGGATTGACTTTAATCAGAAAACTGGGTTTTTCTTCCTGATTCATGGCAGGTTTGAGCAATTGCTCCATTAATGGACTGCTGCTTTCATACGGATCAGGATTTGCGATTGCAGTGTTTTGCTGGTTACATTGTTCATCCATTTGAAGTTTCGTAGTTTTTTTTTTCAATTTGGAGATCGAGTTCGTCGTTCTCAAGTGTCTTCTGTATGGAGAGCTTTCGAGAGAGCTTGAGCTGATTTTGGTAGTAATATAAATTTTGGTAAACAGCAATTCTTGCTGTGATGGGTGGGCTTTGCTCGAGGAGCTCCTCTGTAAATAACGCTCCTGGTGGTAGCTTTCAACATGTTAATGGTCACCTGAATAATGTGTCTTCTCCGGTGAATTCCGAGACCGGTGAAGTAGGACACAAAGATGCGACTGATCCTTCTCCGGTGAGGGAAAATGTGGATAAGCCCTCATCGGAATCGTTTTCGTTTCCGAATCTGAACATTGGATCTCATCCTCAGAATATCGAGGACGGGATTCCTCGGTTATCGAGAGTTTTATCTCAGAAATCAAGATCAACCAAGTCTAGGCAAGCTGCTGTGGCAAAGGTAAAGAACAATGTTTAGCATAGCTTCTTTAATCTCTTTGATGTTTATTATTGTGAGTTAGTTTCTTGACTGAGTTGTTTCATGTGTTAGGTAAAGAGAAATGTTAAGCGTTGTGAGTTAGTTTCTTGACTGAGTTGTTTTCTTGTTTATAGGTTTCGGAAGTAAGCTCTCTTTTGGGCAGGGCTGGTACTATGGGATTTGGTAAAGCTGTGGATGTATTGGACACACTTGGGAGTAGCATGACGAATCTGAACCTTAACGGGGGATTTTCTTCTGCGACGGCTACAAAAGGGAACAAGATCTCGATTCTGTCTTTTGAAGTCGCTAACACCATCGTTAAAGGCGCTAATCTTCTGCATTCTCTTTCGAGAGATAACGTCACGCATTTGAAAGAGGCGGTTTTGCCCTCAGAAGGTGTACAAAACCTGATATCGAAAGACATGGATGAGCTTTTGAGAATAGCTGCTGCAGATAAAAGGTAACAGTATTTGACAATTTTCTGTGTTGTTTCCGTGTACTGTCTTACACTGTTTTCTATTTTTGGTTTGGAGGTAAGCTTACAGTTGAAATTATGTATCGTTTACAGGGAAGAGTTGAGGATATTTTCTGGAGAGGTGGTGCGTTTTGGGAATCGTTGCAAGGATCCTCAATACCACAACCTTGATCGCTTCTTTGACAGGTTCCAACATGTTTCTGTCACTTTTGGTGGGTCTATTATTTTCGGAAAGTATCTGATCTTTCATTAGTTCTGTGTTGTGATTTAGGTTGGGCTCTGAATATACACCCCAGAAACATTTGAAACAGGAAGCAGAAACCATAATGCACCAGCTGATGACATTTGTTCATTTCACAGCTGTATGTATTTTCATGCAAATTTGTGATATTCGATCTTGCTCGACTTCTCGATGGTGATTAATTATGATTATCTGCTATGCTTTCAGGACTTGTATCATGAACTCCATGCGCTGGATAGGTTTGAGCAAGATTACCAACGTAAGATCCAGGAAGAAGAGAACCCAAGCACAACACAACGAGGTTGGTACCAAATAATATCTTGACTAAATCCACAACATGTATCTTTGGAAATGGATGCTTTTGTATTACGCTCTCTATTTTCTTCTGTTTTGTTTTACCGTTCTCAATTTATGTTCCATCTGTTCTATTTCTATGTAAGGTGTGGGAGATACCCTTGCTATCTTGAGAACTGAATTAAAGAGTCAGAAAAAGCATGTACGAAACTTAAAGAAAAAGTCTCTTTGGTCTAGGATCTTGGAAGAGGTAAGTACTGCAAACTGATAAACCAATAATATTTCTTTTTCTCCTACAAGTTCCTTGGCTCATCTCGTTTCCATTGTTAATTCTTGAAAATGTTAATAATGCCTAGGTGATGGAGAAACTCGTAGACGTTGTCCACTTCTTACATTTGGAGATTCACGAAGCCTTTGGTTGTGCGGGTGAGGCTTGATAATTGGATAAAGCTTTTTAGTCTTATTTCAGCTTTTGTGAAAATTGATGATTAGTTTTTAGTTTTTGCTTACAAATCATTATGATTCTACCTGATATGCAGATCTTGATAAGCCTGCAAATGACCCGCCAGTCAATCCTAAAAAGTTGGGCTCTGCTGGTCTTGCCTTACATTACGCAAACATCATTACTCAAATTGATACTCTTGTAAGCTATTATTCCTTTTATCACTTACGTTTTACTTTCCGTGTTTTGACTGTGAATCGTCTGTTACTCATATAATCATATCCAACGGTTACCTGATCCCAAATAATATGATTGGACCCATATCGGATGTTGGTTCATGGAATCTATATCCATTAATTTATTTTCTCATTTTTATGAGTAGGTGTCCCGGTCTAGCACTGTGCCTGCAAGCACAAGAGACGCTTTGTACCAAGGTTTACCCCCAAGCATAAAATCTGCTTTACGCTCCAGAATACAGTCCTTCCAGGTCAAGGAAGAGGTATTAGGATTATTCCACACTGCACTTATTGCTTTACTACCGACAAAATGAATGCACTGTTACTTGAAATGTTATTTACATCACTCTGCCTCTGATTTGTTTTAACCAGCTCACTGTTCCTCAAATAAAAGCCGAAATGGAAAAAACGTTACAATGGCTCGTTCCTGTTGCTACAAACACAACCAAGTAAGCCTATGCGATGTTTTCTTTCTCGTTATATTGGTTCTGTGTCATCATTAGAACTCTGTGCTCACTTAAACCATGTAATTTTTCGGCGGGTCGATGGGACATGTTATTTGTCTTAACTTTCTCTCAACTAAAGCGTGTTACACATTACATAACCTAACACCCTTAGTTTTGATTAGTAAAGTAACTCAGACTTATTCTACTGTCTTTTCTTTTCTCAACAAGGGCGCATCACGGGTTTGGATGGGTTGGAGAATGGGCAAGTTCCGGGTAAGCCCTAAGGACACGCTTGATTCTTAGGCTATTCTCTCTTTGTGCTGTGTATATATGCATACAATTGTGTTCCTTGCTGATGTTATCTAATTTCAGATCGGAGTCGAACCAGAGACCAGCAGGTCAGACCATACTAAGGATAGATACGCTTCACCATGCAGATAAAGAAAAAACCGAGGCTTACATATTAGACCTTGTGGTGTGGCTTCATCATCTCGTTACCCAAGTGAGGGCCACTACCGGTTGTGGCCTAAGATCTCCGGTTAAGTCTCCAATGAGATCACCTAACCAGAAAACCATCCAACTCACCAGCGGTTCACACAACCCAAGCCTGGGTTCTCCGTTGTTGACTATGGAGGATCAAGAGATGCTTAGAGACGTGAGCAAGAGAAGAAAAACGCCAGGAATAAGCAAGAGCCAAGAGTTTCAAACGACACGGCTTTGTAAGCATCACAGGCTGAGTAAAAGCAGTAGCCACTCGCCGATGATGGGAGAGATGATGAAGGGTAGTAAGAAGGATGCTTTCTCGATCAGAAGACCTTCTTCTTTTCCCATCATCGATTTTGATATAGATCGCATGAAAGCTCTTGACGTGATTGATCGTGTGGACACGATTCGGAGCTAGTAGTTAAACTACTTTCACACCATCTGAGAGTTCAGAGTTGGGATTTGAATGGATGGTAACAACAATCATTCCCCAAAAATTGATGATATGAAGAATGTAGATGCGGTTGAAACAAGCAGAGGTTTTTGTAACTTTGTACTATTGTTTTTTGGTTTTGTGGATGTAATTTGGTTTGATTTTGTAGTCATTTCTTTTCTATTGTGTTTTTCCTTTTTCTTTTTCTTTTCTTGTTGTAGTTGTATTGTGTACATACAAGTGACGTTACTGCATATGATCATTTGAAGAATAAATAATATATAAAAAAAAATTTTTTCCTCCAAGGTATGGATGGTGGGGTGCATCCACACTTCTCTGAAAGTTAATGTGTGTTTTTGTTTAGACCTAGGGATTCGTATTTACCCACTATATGCCCACGATGCCTGAGTATAATGTTTGGATCTGAGGATCCTAATCCGGTACAACCTTAAAATACTGATCCGAAAAGTCTTAGTCCTTCTTAAAAACCCGAATGGATCTTATCTTTAAAAATTTTAGGTTCTCCATCCATCAGCTATAATCCAAAATCTAAATGAGTATTGGAAAATACCTTAGATCCATTAATGTAAATTCAAAACTATAACTCTAATTTGAATCTCTAACTTGTTTGGAATCTTTGAATGGTTGTAGGAGATTTTACTTTCGTTTTAATTTGGCTTTATGTAGTACACACTAATGGAATTTGATTAATTTTGAATGATATGTTTTTTTTTAATATATTTTTCAGTTTTTCTAGATATTTTGGTTATTTTTGGATATGTTTGTGTAAATTCTATAAATTGATATTCGATAAATTAATAAACATTATAAATTAAAATTTTGAGTTAGGCCTGTTTAAAATATAACATTATGCTATAAGATAATAACTTTAACAAAAAATTTATGTATATATATGTTCTTATTAATATTATAAATTAATAATTACCATTAACAAAATCTAAAATAAACATATAAATGAGATAATCTGCTAAAATATGAATTTAATGATATTTATTTATTTATTTTAAATTAAGTCTTCTTGAAATTCATCTTAAATTTTAGAAAGAAACTTTTACAGATTATAATCTTTAAATTTTTTTTTCAAAACTAATAACTAAAAATATTTTTTATTTAGAATCTATAAATTAATAAAATATTAAAATCACCACCTTATTAATTTATAGAATTTTTACTATTTTAATACATAATTTTTTTGTTCTTCAATCAAATACCTGAACTGATTTAAACTTGGAAGATACCAAACCGAATTCAAAACCGAATTTTTAAAATATGTTACCTAAACCCTGTAAAACTGTAATATCTGAAACGCGATATACCCAATACGAACTCGTCTCGAGTATCCGAATGACCATGCCGAATGTCGACAAATTAGCAAAACATCAACAACAAAATCAAGATTGTGTGAATAAATGTTGTGCATTTTCCATTCAAAGTGGTTAGCTTTTTTCTTTTATTTTTGTCAATAATATGCAATTTACGGAAATTTTTGAGTGATGCCGAAGTTTGAAAACGTGATGAAAATTGCCGTAAAAAAAGAAAAACAAACAAACAAAACGAGGTTTACACGTGAACAAGCGTAAGCGTCGGCAGTGTAATAATAAATTAATAATCATACCAAGAATTTCAAATATGAATTAAATAATGATATGAAAATAATAATAATAATAATAATATGTAACCCGCCACATTATCGCTCGCCTACCCATGAAGAAGAAGAATCAGAAGATCCTTCTCTAATTTCCATCGCCGGATCTGAGACAGAGAGAGAGAGTAAGAAAAAATGGAGGATCCGATTCTATCTCCTTCTTCTCCATACGACCTTCTCTTTCAAGCTCTCACTCTCATCCCAATTCGCCACTACCTCTTCGCTCTCTTCGTTATCTGGACCATCTTCTTCTACAATTTCCTCGAGTTCCACTTCCTCGGCGACACGATTCTTCAGCATTTCAGATGCCGCGTCAATCTCATCTTCAATCCCGATTCGCCTCTTTACCACGGCGTCGTCTCTCGCTGCAAGATCCTTCACGGCCGGTGAGAAACGATTAAAACGATTTCGGAATTTCGGAATTTGGAATTTGAATTTTTGAATTTGAGTTTTGTTTTTTTTTTTTTTTATGAATGCTTGAAGATATGTGGCGACGCCATGGTTAGCGAGTCCTCATCTTCAGACTTGTTTCCTGAATTTCAATGGATTGCCTCCGGTTTTCAGCTACACGAGGTGATATTTTTTGCTAAAAAAATTTAATCGTTTTGTGCGATTGAGACGCTTTTCTTTAAACGTTTTGTTTTATTTTATCAGACATCTCTTTCGTGCTTCTGATGGTGGAACGATTGCATTGGATTGGGTCACGAATTCTAACGGTATAAATTTAGTGACTGAAACAGTTGATTTTTATATATGTCAGCTGAATAGTGGAATAATTTAATCATATAATAGCGGAATCACCCCTAAGCTGAATAAATTAAAACGAAATTGTGCAACAGCTTGAACAACAACAAAAAAAACTAGTACTATTTAAGTAGAGAAATAAAGTTTTGTTCTAATCGTGTTTTTGATTGAATTTGTTTTGACTTGTTCAGTTCTTGATGGCGCTCTGAACAATCAGAATGTAATCAAGAAAGAAGACACAACCCCAATCGCTGTCGTTATTCCAGGGTTAACTAGTGATTCTTCATCTGCAGTAAGTCTAATTTTCCACAAATCACCTTTAATTATGAATGTGCTTTATACATTACATGAAGTTTAAATGGTTAATTTGACTTGCATTTGATGTTTTTTGCAGTATCTAATGCATCTTGCATATAACACTGCAAAATCCGGTTGGAATGTTGTTATTAGCAACCATAGAGGATTGGGAGGTGTTTCTGTTACTGTGAGTTAACTTTGTTGTGTCTTTGTGTATAGAATGTTCACATGTGTTTATAAATCCTTGTGCTTGCTTATATATATACATATTCTTGTATAATCTTGTTATGTTGCAAACAGTCCGATCGCTTCTATAACGCTGGATGGACAGAGGATATACGGGTGGTTCTTGGTCATCTTCAACAAGAATACCCAATGGCTCCTCTCTTTGCTATTGGAACTAGCATTGGAGCAAATATTCTGGTACTAAATCAGCAATTCAGTGTTTTACAATTTTAGTTTACACTTCTTAGTTTGATTTTCTTGTCTTCCATGGACCTTCTGTTTCATATTGCTAAGTTGGCTGCACCATTTGCTACATTTAAGCAGAGGTTTCAGGCTAATAGAGTAGCTTGCCTCTTTAGGTTTTTCAGTACCGTTGATATGCGCAAACGAGGTTCATCAAATCGACAACATAAGCCTGAATCTACTTAATGTTTTCAGGTGAAATATCTTGGGGAAGAAGGTGAAAAGACTCCCCTGAGAGGTGCTGTAGCTATTTGCTCTCCATGGGACCTCTTGGTGAGTCATTTTGTCATAACTGTAATCTTAACTCCTCTCTAAGAATTTGATCAGAAATTAAAACTTATTTGATTTTCTTCATTGGTCCTAATTTAAGAACTTTGAGCTTGTCAATATTACTAAGCGTATCGTTTGATTACAAGTTGAGCTTGATAAATTATGATTTCTTTTCCTTTTGTGGCTTGTCCCACCAAGATTGGTGACAGGTTTATCTGTCGAACGTTCAAGCAAAAGTTATACGACAAAGCTCTCACCATCGGACTCCAAGGTTATGCCCAATTGTATGTACACCTACCTTTGAGTTTGTGACATGTGTTGAGAGTAGATATTTCAGATATGCTACTTTAAGAAGATCAGGTTTCAGTAATATAACTCTAGTTTTCATTTGCAGACATGAACCTCAATATACACGGCTTGCTAATTGGGAAGGCATAAAAAAGGTTAGTAGTGTCACTACATAACCATAAACTACACATTTTACTTGGTCGATGCCCTGAAAGAAGCAGAGTTCTTACTACTGACGTTGTCTGTTGTTCGCGCCAACTTTATGGCTTCATCAGTCACGTTCCATCAGAGATTTTGACAACCATGCTACATGTCGTGTCGGAGAATTCGAGGTATTACTTCTCCTCCCTATTATTTCCAACTTTCTGATGTTATACTTTCCACTAAAATCATTGCTGTACACATCTTTACGCAGACTGTGGATATTTATTACCGAAAATCTAGCAGTACACAATATGTAGAAAATGTCGCCGTGCCGCTACTCTGTATAAGTGCTCTAGATGATCCATTATGCACAAAGGAAGCTATTCCTTGGGACGAATGCAGGTAATACACAATCTCTTTCAAAACCTTGAATCCTGGTACAGAGATTAACATGAAAGTTTCTTTGGAAAAGGGCAAACAAAAACATTGTCTTGGCTACAACAAATCACGGTGGACATCTAGCGTTCTTCGAAGGACTAACTGCATCTAGCTTGTGGTTGGTATCTCTCAGATTTTTAAACAAGTGTAAAAATGGGATAGTTCTTCTTGTTTTCACTGTCTATATATGTGTGTGTATAGGTGGGTTCGTGCCACGAACGAGTTTCTTGGCGCTCTTAGCTGCAGTGATTATATGCATGTACAGAAAGTAAGTTCAAGATCAGTGAAGCAGGAGGAGCCTTCGATAAACCAAGGCCCGTACCTAAATATTGCAGAAGACGGGTTGGTGGCAGCAGTTAACTACGAGCAAGAGACCAGTACTGCCACCATACGGTCAGGAGTTGGAACACGAGGATCGAACCAGACCGGACCAAAGCATAAGGATGATGTAACAAAGAGAAGCTTTAACGAGCTGTGTCGCCAGAAAAAACGGTCCATATGGTGGCTTGGTTACATAGGTGTGGTAACAGGTTTCCCATTAGTTGGGCTACTCATAAACTACATCTTCCGTAAGAAGCAACGACCCACAACATCCAAAAAATACTGAAGTTGCTTCTATCTCCTCTCAAGAAACCCCATTTACTGATTATTAGTTTATGTCGTAATTTTTTAATTATTGATATTTGGTATGTTGATAAATACTAGAGAATTTGCTTCCTTAACGCAAAATAAGATCATATTTGCAAAACTAACACAACACTGTTTTCCACACTGCATTTTTTCATAACCTAATATTACCTCTGATGTTTTTCTCTCACATCTTCTTGTCTTATTTATTTATTTCGTTCATCTTATTCTCTCCTCACAAATCTTCAATTTCCACAATTCCTACTCAATCTCTTACACACATTCACCAAAAATCAAAAATCAACATTGTGTATTTCAGAAGAATGAACATAATGAACATCAAAGATATGGATGTGGATGTGATGCAAAAATAAGTGGAACTGCAAATTTGGGTGTGAATTTTATGGGAATTTAGATCGATTTTGATATGTGGGTATTATTGGCGATTATTGTTCATATATTAGTTTTTTTTAATGCTCTTCTGATGAATATAGTTACGTTAATTTGAAAGTTGATGATTCAAGATTTTACTTATCCTGTGAAATATAAAGTTAGAACTATATCTAAATGTTTAGATCATATAATAACATGTAAACTTTTAGAGGTAACATGTAAGTTAAACAGAAAATGATTAAGTTATCATATTAAAACAAATGTTAGAAGTACAATACATAATTTAACGTGTTATAATATTAACAATCTAAATAATACTTGTATTAGTTTGAGAGAAATAGTTTTATTATTCTCAAGTTTAACAAGAGAAATTTTCTAAATTGTCTTATTGAGTTCCTATATGAAGTTGATACAAACATTAACAGCAACTGTATTTTCAATGTCATGTCAAAATTTGTTAAATTATTTTTGTATAAAATATCATTCACATAGTAATGTTAAATAACATTGATGTTTGTTACAAAACATAAGTCTGAAACCAACACAAAGAAACCGTTATGGAGATTTTTTGGAAGCACCAAACATTTTTTGGCTGAATATGAAACTGATATAGAGATTACAAGAATTCCTGTGCACAACTTATGCACATAAGTTCTTGTAATTGTTAGTGTGTTGGTATTGTAAAGGGGATGATAAACTCTATTAAATATTTCTCTCAACTAATTTGTTTTTGTTCTCTACTGATTAAAAATGATTCTAAAAATTTAATCTTCAAAGATAGTTTGTTTGAGAATTCAAAGGATTAATAAAAAATAACTCTCTTTATTACTTTAGAAAATCATTCAAAACTAAAGCTCTCAATCTCAAACTCATAAGTTATGTCACACCTTGACATCTCCTTATATAATAGACAAAATCCTTTTCCTATTAGAAACACAATTATATTTAGATAACTCCTAAATATTCCTAATCCTAGTCTACTTTGAATAACTTGTAATTCAAGCTATCTTTAAGCTTACACCAACATTCTCCCTTTTAAGCTTGAAGTCATCTATCTCTTAATCTTGAACACCAATGAGATCTCTCATCTCCTTGAACTTGATTTTTCCAAGAACCTTTGTTAAGACATCTGCCTCATTTTTAGGGACATGTTCTACCTACGTGTTCATTTTCCACATATTCCCTTATGAAGTTATTCTTGGTAAGATGAATTGTTGACTGATTATCAATCCGTATGACAACATTTTCACACGGTAATCCAGTGAATTCACTAAGAAGATTTTGAAGCCAAATCGCTTGCGTTGCTGCTTCAGTACCTGCCATCACTACAAAATAACATCACAGATTCGTATGACATATATCATCAAAAAATTGTAGGAAACAGTCATTTTCTACCAATTTTCTACGAAATATTTTGGTAGGTTTTAAGCCGTCAGAAATTGCAAAATGTAGGAAAATCGTAGGAAATTTTCTATAAAAATGTTGGTAGAAAAATTTCGTCGGAAATGTTGGTAGGATATTCGTAAGGAAATACCTACTAAATTAATTCTATAATTTCTTACGAAATATTACCTATATATTTCCTGCGAATTACTCTTACCATTTTCCTACCACTTTTCAGATTTTGTAAGAAAAAAATAAATTTTATAAAATAAAAAATAGAATTAATTTTAAAAATTAAATTTATATTAAAAGATGAATTAATTATTAATTTGATTATTAATATATATAGAGAAGACGAAGACGAAGATTAATTAGTTTTCTTGTAGTGAATGCACTCGGCCTCACATGATGAAAATGCCATATTATCTTGTTTTTGTGAACACTAGGAGATCAGACTTTCACCGAGATAGAACACATGACCAGCTGTACTTTTTTCATCATCAGGATCAACATTATGACTACTATCACTATAGCCTACTAACATTGGTATCTTTGAAGCAAATGACTTAAATGTTAAACCAAAAGTGGTGGTGCTTCACAGATACCTTAAGCATTGTTTTATCGCAGCTCCGTGAGATTCTTTAGGACTTTGCATATATCGACTTAACACTCCCACCTAAAAGGACAGGTCTGGTCTTGTATAAAGCAGGTAACAAAGACAACCAACATTATTCCTGAACCTCATAGCATCAATTTCTTTTTCATCTTCAGCTTTTGACAGTTGCAGTCCAGACTCCATCAGTGTGTGAACCAAATTACAATTTGCCATTCCAGCTTCTTCCAAAATTTTCAAAGCATAGCGTTTTTGATTCAACTTTATTCCTCATTTTGTGTTGACACACCTCAATTCCAAGACAATATGTTAGTTTCCCGAGATCAATCATATCAAACTTAGAAGCCATCTTTCTTTTGAACTCATCAATGACGTTTATATTTGTTCATGTGACGAATAGATCATATTTCACATAAACTGCTACAAGAAGAAGATCTTTGCTTACTTTCTTTTGATAGACCGATGGCTCATTTGAACATTTTTCAAACTGAAGTTCTTCTAGAATTTGATTCAATGTATTGTTCCATGCTCTTAGTCCTTGCCTTAAACTATACATAGCTTTATTAAGCTTATCAACTTTATTTTCACATCCCTTCTCTTCAAATCATTCTGTTTAAGTAACAAAAATAGTTACCACTTAACTCTCCATGAAGAAAAGCCATTTTATCAAGATGATGTATTTCCCATTCATTTGATGATGCAAGAATGATAAGAAGTAATACTGTTCTAAGACGAGCTACTGGAGCAAAAACTTTATTGAAATCAATATCATACCTTTGCCCATATCCTTTAGCAAATAGTCGAACCTTGTGCTTATTAATACTTCCATCAAAATTACGTTTGAGTATAAAAATCCACTTCAAACCAATTGGTTTTGCTCAATGCGGTAGATTTACAAGAGTTCAGTTTTGATTTTTCTTGATTAGATGAATTCATCTTCACATGCATCCATTCCTTTGATTCATTTGCTTCATTGAAATTTCTTGGTTCTTCATTTAAGCAAAACAATAATCTTTCTCCTTCTTCTTGCGCAAGTAAGATGTAGTCTTCAAGATACTTAGGTTTTATGTTTTATCTTTGTGATCGTCTTAAGTCTAGTGGAGACTGATTGTCTAAGATCTCTGTCTCTTGCTCATGAGAAGGTATAGACTCAGTGTCATCGTTTTCCTCAATATTTCCAGAAGCTTCAGGATTGTTGTCAGCTTGCTCTGTTTCGACACTCTCACTTGATCTTTGGATACCATGGTTACCAAATTCTCCAAATACAACTCTGAAACTTCCACCTTGTTGTTGATATGAGTTGTTGGCATTCCAGTTCCAACCTTTTGATTCATCAAATACAACATCTCGACTTACCACTATTTTTCCGATTTTGTGTATCTAGCAACCGGTATGCCTTAGAGCCTGGTTCAGTGTCTAGATGAACAAGCATATGTAATCTATCATCCAGTTTCTTTAAATGTGGTGTCTCCATTTTTGCATACCCAATGCATCTGAATTTACGAAGGTGATCAATATTTGGTTTCTTGTCTCGGAATACTTCATATGGAGTTCTATCCTTGACTGCTCTTGTGGCGATTCGATTCAGCAGATACGTCGAATGTCTTATTGCTTCTCCCCTTAAGTAATTTGGCATACGCATGTGCTTCATAATGTTCCTTTCCATCTCCATTAATGTTTTGTTATGCCTCTCAAACACACCATTTTGTTGAGGGATATATGGCGCAGGGAGGTGTCGGTTAATGCCATTGTCATTGCAATTAAACTCCTGTGACACAAACTCTTCTCCTTTTTGAATGTTTGTATACTTTCTCCTGATCCTTGCTCCACTAAGCTTTTGATTTTCTTGAATTTGTTGAAGGCATCACCCTTTTCTTTCAATAAAATTTTCCACATGTACCTGGAGTAATCATCAATGAGAACAAAATATACATATTCCCAGCCGTCGTGCTTGGTGTTATAGGTTCGCAAAGGTCTCTATTTATGAGCTCAAGTTTCTTGGTTGCTCGATATAATGTATCTTGGGAAAACACTCGTCTAGTTTGTTTACCAAGTAGACATGAAACACAGATTTCCTTTTCAATGTTTACCCGTGAAATTCCTTTGACGAGTTCTCTTTGTATCATGTTCCTTAATGTGTCAAGGTTTACATGTCCCAATCTTGCATGCCATTTACTTGAGTCACTCATCAGTGTTAGGTACAGACACACGGTGTCTGTTAATCCCATATGAACCTTATATAGCCGATTTCGTGACCTGATTACTTTGACAAGTAAATTTCCATCGATATCATGCATTGTTAGATAGTCTCCTCTCATTCTTATAGCACAGCCTGATTTTTTAGCTTGTTCGAGACTAATAATCTTGCTTTTCAAATCCGGAATGAAGTAGACGTTTGTCATTACGCTTGAATCACCGTTTCTGTCAATGAATGATATCGATCCTTTCCCTTTGATGTTTATTCATGAATCATCACCAAATCAAACTTTTCGGGTAACAGAGTCATCAATCTTTGTGAAATATCTTCGATCCCTTGTCATGTGGTTGCTAGCCCCATTGTCGAGATACCATATGTTTTCTTCTCTGGTATTTTTTTCATACTCGCTTGGTATACAATTTTTTCTCGTTTAAGTACACCACCTTATGCATTAGGAGCTCATCTGCGTCTTCTGTCTTGTCTTTGTTATTTTCTTGAGCTTCTTACAGCCTAAGTAATTGATCTGGGCAGCTTGAGGCATAGT